TTCTGCACTATTTGCTGTTTATCTCCGTAACTGCTGAACCTGCTTTTGCCAAAAACTAATCGAATGTTTTTTGAACCATTCAATTTGAAAAGAAATCGAATGTTTTTTGAACCATTCAAATTGGTTGATCTATGCGCCCGAAAACGTGGCTGGAAATTTGTATCCATACATACATATATACACACACACATCCATTCTTTCTGAGGTATGCCAAAATGTTCAGAAACCTTCAAAACGTCGAGAAATGTAAAAAATTTAAATTTCGATTTTAGGCTCATTACAATAACTTACCCTACGGGAAGTTAATTAATATTTAAGCAATAATATTTGATAAATAATAAAATATATCAATAAAATATATTTACATAATTTCAATAAAATACAATTATTAATAAATAGACGTCGTTTGTAATCGGTCGTTATCATTTTGTTCCATATTTTATTAGGTATTGGGTTAATGACATTAATTTAGCACTACGCGGTAGAATAACTTACTCAAGTCCTAAGAATGTTATGAAAACAAAAGCTTTATTGCGTTCTGATAAAATGAGGAAGAGGCTGCTGGCAATTCGTAACACCAAGCGTGGCCTACGCTAACTTTTTGTTCATGGATTCATTATTACTATAGAGAGTTATGTTCTCCCCTCATGAAACAATGCCTAATGGCAGTTTCCTTGAGGGACTAAGCGGAGATTTTAGTTGGCATTATTATTTATTGAGTCCAACATACCCAGATAAATTATCAATACTCGCGGATCCGTGTGGACGGAGTCGTTAGTTTGAATATCGGGTATGAATCTCTCACACAATTCTGATTCGAGTTGGAGTTTAACTCAGCTCTTGGATTCATTATTACTATAGAGAGTTATGTTCTCCCCTCATGAAACAATGCCTAATGGCAGTTTCCTTGAGGAACTAAGCGGAGGTTTTAGTTGGTATTATTATTTATTGAGTCCAACATACCCAGACAAATTATTTAGTCTGGGATGCGTAAAAGCATTTCCTTCGCTATACAAACTAAATATATATATATATATATATATATATATATATATATATTTATATATATATATATATATATATATATACATATATTACTTGATATATTTTTTACAGCTTATGATTTCTTTACAGTGTTGTTGCAGCATGATGACATGTGCTTATGAGGTGCAACTTCTCATTCAAAACTAATTACTGTATTTCATTAACGCTGTGTTTACTAAGTTTCAATAAATTATAGTAGTAACTAGTTAAGTTAAATATAAATTGTTATGATAATGTTTACTACGTTTCAATAAATTATAGTAGTAACTAGTTAAGTTAAATATAAATTGTTATGATAATGTATGATTTGTATTCAAAACTGTATAGATGTTTGTAACTTTATTTTGATATTCTTTATTTGATATATCTTGTATATTACATTATTATTGATATACTTTTGTATTGCTGAATTGAAATGAAATGATAAAATGAAATACAATATTTTTTAAAATTATCTGTCTTTTTAATTTCTAATTTTTTAATTTCAAATTTTCGCGCTTTAATTTGAATGCGAGGCTGTCGAGCGACATACGATTAAAGCGCCATCACCCAACATTGCGGTCGTGACTTTCCCTCGCTCTCTGAACGCAAATACCGCGAGAGAGAAACGTCTATATTAGTATCACGGGGTATATTATGAACACGGGGTATTCTAATATTGTCTAGGATTAGTATATTGTCTAGGTTTAATGGTTTAGTATGTTCATTAAAACGAAGTACTCTATCGTTATACCAAGTAAATCGTCTTTTATTTTAACAAACGTCAAAAAAACTACTCATTATCTCAAACTTTGATGAAATTTTAAAATTAAACTAACTAAAGTTCAATAAAAATCGGCTTCATTTTTTTTTCAACAGTTAATTACAAGAAAACGGCTCAGTAGATTTTAATCTAAAGCTAACGATTACAAAGAAATGGCTTGGCAGATTGTCGCACAAAACTAACAAACGATAGTCTTTATTGAGATACATCAAATGTTATTTAAATTTTCGAAATCGGTTCAGGCGTTTTTGAAGAAACGTCGATGAAAGGTCTAAATTTGACAAACACCAAAAACGATACTAATATTTGCAAACTTTGAAGAATTTTTGAAATTAAACGAATTGTCGTAGGGCAGTAATATTTCAGTATGATCTACAAGCCTATGCTACTAAAATTTTTAACACTTTATTACAAAAAAACAGCCAGGCCGATCTTTACCGAAAACTAATAAGCACCAACCAATATCTTTCGAACAGTTTTTGAATTTTCAAAATCGAGTCAGAATTGCTGGCTAAAACGTGGATGAAATTTTTTTCACCTTTTTGCGATTTACAAAAAAACGTCTGGGCTGATCATCGCGCAAACGCTAGTCCTCATCGAGATACATCGAATGGCTTTCAAAGTTTTGAAATCGATGCAGCTGTTTTTGAGAAAACGTCGATTTACGGCAAAAAATCTGTTCCCATAGACACACACGCACACTATTTTCCAATTTGGTCTTTTTCGATTCAGAATGACTTGAAACTTCTCCTTTAGAAAGTTAAAAAAAATACGTTAAACTAGCTGTAAGTGGAATTCTGTCTTAAGGCAATTAAGGCATCGTGCCTTAAGGCAAATTGCTGGAACTTCCCGTACCAAAAATTATTAATTTTTTAAAAACGATTAACATTTTTGAAAAAAATGTACTTTGAAAAAATAAGATTTTTGAGAAACTATATATATGGAAAAACATTACTTTTTTTTGAAAAAAAAATTAAAAAAAAAAATATTTTTTTATATAATAGACATATTGTGGAAGATCTGAACTTTTTTTTCAAAGCAATCGTACTAATTTAACTGCATAGGGACAAAATATAAAGCGCGTAAGCGCCGCGTCGCTGTATAACGCATAAGCATTGGTACGGAACCCATAGGAATGTTAACAAAATGTATACTTATTGTTAAAATCTCTATAAAATATCTGATAATTTGATGTGCATATGTCTAATGATCATTTTTGACCGCCAAATGGCTAATTTTTTTACTTTTTCCTCCATATCTCCGAAACCGCTAGACCTACCTTTATGATAATTTTATCGATTCTTTATCTTGTCAATACAAGTGAAATGTTTTTTGAATTATTTAAATCGGACGCTCCGTACTCTTAAAAACTGAGTTACCGTTTTCGGCACTTTTTGCCCCGTATCTTCGGAACGGCTAGACCTGCCTTCGCCAAAAACTAATCAGCACGTCTCCTTATCAATACGAATCGAATGTTTTTTATGCATATGTATTCTGTAGTGGGATGTTTTTTGCACAACTTGAAAGACTGACAAGCGAGTAGGCATGAGCACTTTTCGATTATTAATTTCCCGTACGGTAAGTTATTGTAATCGTCCAAAAATTGAAATTGAAAACTTTTACATTTCTTCACGTTTTGAAGGTTTCTCAACATTTTGGCATACCTCAGAAAAAATGGATGTGTGTGTGTGTATGTATGTATGGATACACTTTTCGTCCACGTTTTCGGGCGCACGGATCAACCGATTTGAATGGTTTAAAAAAACATTCGATTCCTATTGATAGGGAGATGTGCTGATTAGTTTTTGGCAAAGGTAGGTCCAACCGTTACGGAGATACTGAGCAAAGAGTGCAGAAACTACGAATCGAGTTTTTGAGAGAACGGGGCATCCGATTTGAATGATCTAAAAAACATTTAATTTGTAATGATTGGGAGAAGAGGTGATTAATTTTTGCCAAAGGCAGGTCCAGCCATTTCAAAGATACAGAGTAAAAAATGGCAGTTTTTGAGAGAACTAAGCGTCTGATTAGCATGATTCAAAGAACTTTCTGCTTGTTTCAACAAAATAATTGCTTTTCGAAAAAGAAAATTTGTTTTCATTTATTTATCAAGTTTTTATTTCAATTTTTTTCGATTTTTTTTGTGTATTGAGAATAATTCAGATTTTAATTTTAATTCTGTTCTAATATACTTTAAACAATAAATAATTTTCAACTTTGCAATTCAGTTTAAATAGTTCTTATAAATATTAGACAATATTACAATATTTATAATAATCTATTTGAAAACATTTGATATTCCTCGAACATTTCGTTACCGTACGGAAAGTTCCAGCAATTTGCCATGGTGCCATACAACACTAGTATTTATTTATTTATCCATGACTTTCAGCATGGATTAGTGAACCAGTGTTGCCAACGATCATAAGGCCCATTTGTTTATCTATGAGGCCGCTAGTCTCGCCGTTGTCCGTTGCGTTTACAATTATTGGTCGTTATCTGTCAAGCCATAGGGTGTCATATTATAGGGTATCATATCGCCATCTATCAATTCGATTGATGACCATTACTTTCGGTTGAAGCTGACTAATTAACTCCGTTAGGCTTTATTAAAATATTTTGTATTATCAATTATTAAATTTAAAATAATTAGTTAGAGTTAATTGTATACAGTAATATATAACTGAAGTGTTATTATAGTTCGCATTTAAATTTCAAGAAATATCTTGTGGTTTTATTGGTTATGTGGTGAGTCGTTGCTTGTTGAACACATTTCATTGTAAAATATAATAAAATATACATGGTTAATAATATTAAAAACCTTAATTTATATGTGTAAGTAGATTTTTACTTTGCATATACACAGTTAATACTCATTTTTTACTTGGTATGTTAACAACAGTTTAGTAATATTTGACGTTGTCAAAGTCTTCGTGTAAAATGTTTTTATTTTGTGATTAATATTATATATATATATATATATATATATAATATATATATATATATTTATAAACTTACGTATATGCATATGTAAATATGGACACACTACACTCAGTTTTTATCACAATCTTCATTTCATGAAATTACAGACGTTTTGAGGCTAAGTATGTCTTATCTTCAGTGTAAAGTTTATTTAAAAGTATAATTATTGATACATTGTAAAACATTAATCATTAATTTTGCTTAAATACAGATCAACTTTCTATAACGAGGCTAGACACTACACTAAACATATAAAGGATGTATGGAAATGCTTAAAAATCCAATTTTTAGGTACTTTAAATATTCAAATAAAAGGAACAAGGATCAATATTTTTGTAATGTAAACAAATAATTGAGTGCCTTGCATACCAAAATCAACTCTGAAATAGGATATGAGAACCGACACAAATATTCTACACGACTCATGTATATTATTCAGTTACTTAATTTTTAATTTCTTGTTTACTTATTCTTCTTGCATTTGAATTAATTTTGGTATGCAAAGCGCTCATCCATTTGTTCACATTATAGGAATATCTATCCTTGTCTCTATATGCATATAAAGAAATATATTATATATATATATATATATATAATATATATATATATATGATTTAGTAGTTAATTTTGATGTTGAAATATATGAGTGAGTTCTTGAGGGCGATACATCAAACAAAGAAAAGGCAAAGATTTATAAAATAATCTTTAATTCCAAACGTTTCGACATTCAATTTAATGTCATCATCAGTGGATCTAAAAACAGTATGAAAATTAGTATATCTAGGTAATTATAATATATGTGGATTGGTATAGTAATTATAAAATAAGAGAAAAATTAACAAACAAGCAAACACTTAACAACAAACAAATATAAAAGATAGGAAAGGTAATAGAGACTAGAATTAAATAAATATTATAAAAAGAAAAAAGAATATAGGCAAAATATATAAGTGAAGTGGTTGTTGAATAACAAGAGTTTGATTTGATTCACTATTGTTTATTGTGTTGAATATTAATACAACTATGTATTGTTCTGTCCTTGTTGGCGGTTGAGGTGGAAAGAGACGTTGCCTATAATTCTTCCTCTTTTATTCGGCCGTCTTGATGCGTGCGCATCATGCAGGACAAGCACGTGGTACGGCAGGATCGTACTAATTGCAGGGCTGCACTTAGGGGCGATACATCAAACAAAGAAAAGGCAAGATTTATAAAATAATCTTTATTCCAAACGTTTCGACATTCAATTTAATGTCATCATCAGTGGATCTAAAAACAGTATGAAAATTAGTATATCTAGGTAATTATAATATATGTGGATTGGTATAGTAATTATAAAATAAGAGAAAAATTAACAAACAGCAACACTTAACAACAAACAAAATATAAAAGATAGGAAAGGTAATAGAGACTAGAATTAAATAAATAATTAAAAAGAAAAAGAATATAGGCAAAAATATATAAGTGAAGTGGTTGTTGAATAACAAGAGTTTTGATTTGATTCACTATTGTTTATTGTTGTTGAATATTAATACAACTTATGTATTGTTCTGTCCTTGTTGGCGGTTGACGGTGGAAGAGACGTTTGCCTATAATTCTTCCTCTTTTATTCGGCCGTCTTGATGCGTGCGCATCATGCAGGACAATCACGTGGTACGGCAGGATCGTACTAATTGCAGGGCTGCACTTAGGTGCCGCCGCATAAGTACACTCATATAAACCTACGCATATATACATATATATATATATATATATATAAATACAAACACACATGCAAACATATAATACACATATACATATACAAATACAAAAATATATACCTATATATGTACACATATACATGTACGACTATACATATATAAATATATGCATATACATATATGCAACGTGCATGCATATTCACAACAACGTACATGTACATGTATGAAACATACATATACTCATACCTATCTATGTAACTATAGCTATACACGTATACATATACATATACGCATAAACATGTATATATACATATATACATATATAATATATATATATATATATATATATATATGTATATATGTATGTATTTTATATGTATTATCCATCTTCATAAACATTTTTTTGCTTTACATATATATATGATATTTTTGTATTTGTATATGTATATGTGTATTATATGTTTGCATGTGTGTTTGTATTTATATATATATATATATATATATATATATAATGTATATATGTATATATGTATATGTGTATATATGTATGTATGCGTAGGTTTATATGAGTGTACTTATATATTTTTGCCTATATTTTTTTTCTTTTTTAATTATTTATTTAATTCTAGTCTCTATTACCTTTCCTATCTTTTATATTTTGTTTGTTGTTAAGTGTTGCTGTTTGTTAATTTTTCTCTTATTTTATAATTACTATACCAATCCACATATATTATAATTACCTAGATATACTAATTTTCATACTGTTTTTAGATCCACTGATGATGACATTAAATTGAATGTCGAAACGTTTGGAATTAAAGATTATTTTATAAATCTTTGCCTTTTCTTTGTTTGATGTATCGCCCTCAAGAACTCACTCATATATATATATATATATATATATATATATATATATATATATATGTGTGTATTAAGGCGGGTCGATTTGTATGGGTAAAAAAAGGCACATATGGTTTTCGTATACTAGGGATCAAAATAAGATACTTTGCCGAAGAAACCATATCTCTAAAATGAACTCTGATGTCCCGTGCATTCACCCAAAGATTGGGTCAAATTTTAAAAAATCCTGTTTTGGCTCATTTAGAGTGCCTCAGTAACTTTGGAAGGCCGATCTATCCATGCCTATGAACTACCCCCTGGGACCTCCCTTTAGAGGTCCCCCATACAAAAGTTGTATCATTTTGGGTACTTCAACATGACAAAAATCTGCGATTTATTTTTATTATAAAATTTATTTTATCATAAGATTTGTAAATAAAACTATGTAAAACTCGTAAACTATTGTTTGAAGTCTTTTTTAGTTTCAAGTCTGGAGAATTTTGCACGGCTCTCTAATATCGTCGCCGTAACAGCCTCTAGCTAGCATGGAAGCGTAGAGATAAAATGCATTGGAAAATTGAAACAAAGAAGAATTTTAATATTTTTTTTTTGTAAAAATGTTTTTTGTGTGTGTTTGAATTAATATCTAAAAAAAAATGTTTAAATAATATATTTTTGCTGAGTAAAATACCAAAAACGATGATTTTTTGCAATATTTGTATGGGAGACCTCTAAGGAGAGGTTCCAATGGGTGAACCATAGATATGGGTGGATCGGCCTTCCAAAGTTAGTTGGGGTTTGTTATACATTTGGAAACGATTGGAGCACTCTAAATGGATTATAACGGAATTTTTCAAAATGCAATTCCTATCTTTGGGTCAATGCATGGGACATCAGAATTTATTTTAGAGGTATGGTTTCTTCGGCAAAGTATCTTATTTTGATCCTAGTATCCGAAAATTATATGTGCCTAAGCGACTTAAATATATATATATATATATATATATATATATATATATATATATATATGATAAGGTTTTTCAGCCACAAGTCAAAAAAATGAAAACAGAACATAAATATAAATCTTTTTTAATATGTTTCGAGCTATTCTGCTAGCTCATCATTCAGCTAAAATACAAACAAAGTAATAAAACAAAGTAGCAAAATAAAATTAAACAAAATTAAAATTATACATACCAAACCAGTTTTACAAATTATTAAACATACCAAAATTATTTTATGCAAAATTTGACAATTAAAACTTAAATATTTTGTTCTAAAACAAAAAAAAATATGTATATATATGTAGAATTTTGAAAAATAAAATCGAGTGATCGAAATATTTCGAATTCTGAAAGAGAAGATAAAAGAAAATATCAAGTGGTAAAAAATTGTTTAAATATTAAAAAAATCAGAATTACATGTATAAATTAAATTTTGATAACTGTCAAAAAGTAAAGAAGTTCTCTTACTAACACATTCAGAATTTAGAAAAATGAAAACAGATTCAGCAATATAATATATATATATATATATATATATATATATATATACAAGTCACTACACTCAATTTTCTGTACAACATTACAAAATTACATATGTTTCGAAACTAAGGTATATTTCATTTTCACTGTAAGTTCTTAATTCTAATTTTTATTGGCATTTTATGAAATATTAATTATAGATCAAAAATATCAATCACTTTATATGTTTCAGTATAGTGTCTTGTGCCTTGTTAAAGAAAGTTGATAGTTCTTCCTTTCAAAAATATTTTATAATGTACCAATAGTTATACTTTTTACTGTAAGAGTTTACACTTAATCTCCAAACGCCTGCAATCTTATGAAATATAGTTTATGCAGAAAACTAAGCTCCATATTTATATCTTAATACTCGTTCTACTCTTAAATCCAATTTCCTCGTATCTATATAATATATATATATATATATATATATATATATAATATATATATATATATATATACATGGTCTGTTCAAAAAGTTTTCGGAATTTTCGTTTTTTCAAAAAAATATTTATTTATTCGTCTACATTAATGTGGTCCCCTTCAAAGTAGTCCCCCCCAGATATAATACACTTATGCCAGCGTTTTTTTCCAATTTTCGAAGCACCCTTGATATTCACTTTTTGATATGTCCTTGAGCACTCTCAGCGATTTTTCTTCAATCGAGGAAACCGCCGTCCTTTCATGGGTCTCTTCAACTTTGGGAATAGGAAAAAGTCACACGGAGCCATATCTGTGAATTTTTGCACTTTGCAACACCTTTATTTCATTTTTTACGCAAAATTTAATACAAATTCTTTGACTTTTCATTCTTCCATTGTAAAAATCGCCGAGCTCAGAAAACACGTCGAACCTTAGCGACTACCCACAGACAAAGTAAACAGTGAATATAGCTGAAAATTTCATCATACTTTAGGGGCATGTATCCCAACACAATAAAAAAAAAATTTGACAATCAGACACTCCAGAACCCGCGAAATTTAATTATTAGTAATTCCGGGTACTTTTTGAACAGACCTCGTATATATATTGATTGTTTCTTTTCCGAACAGTAAATCCAATAATAAAAAACAATTTGTTTTTTGAAGATGTTTAATACGACGTTTCGGAACTAGGTACGTTCCATCATCAGGTTTATTCTGTCAATACAATGTTTTTTAAAAAATTAATTAACATTAATTAACGATGGTCAAAAACATACATATAAGCACATATATGGATGTACATATATTATAACATATATACATGTATTTATATACATATTCAAAAATTATTAGGATTAATTGTTTTTAATCAGGTTTAAAAAATTTAGATATGAGTCATGAATGATATTGTGATCTGATCTTTTATTAACACTATTTGACGAATTCAAAAAGATTAAACTGCTTTCAGAAAAAAGTCTTTTAAAAGTCCATTCCTTTCCTTTCCTTTCAAGTCCATTCCATTCCTTTATAAAAAAAATTTTTCTAATTAATCTGTATTGACCATCGTTAATTATTGTTAATCAATATTTTTAAAAAACATTGTATTTGACAAAATAAACCTGATGATGGAACGTACCTAGTTCCGAAACGTCGTATTAAACATCTTCAAAAAACAAATTGTTTTTTATTATTGGATTTACTGTTCGGAAAAGAAACAATCAATACATAAAAAAAATCCAGGACTTATCTATTGAATATATATATATATATATATATATATATATATATATATAATAGTATTTTGTGATATGAGTTATGTATCGAGATGAAGAGACAGGATGGGTATTATTATAATGTAAACAAGTGGAGTGCGCGTCGCATACTAATTTCAACAAATGTGAAAACAGATTAGTTTATTGAAGAGAATTAGTTTAGAGTCTAAGAGAATAATAATATTCTGTACCATTCACATGTTTTAGTACTAAAATAAAGTGTGTGTTGTATTGTTTATATTTAACATTCAATATATATACACATAAAAAAATACATACAAAAATAAAATGAAAGTTACATTGAACTTGGTATTTTATATCTAAACATGTGTACACATCACAGAATTTTGCACTAACATTGATACAACTAATCAATAATCATGACTTTTTTTGTAAATAGGAATAATAGTGAAAGTTTTGTTTTACAGAAATTTAGAAAAATTAAAGTATTTTGGCACAGAAACATGTAATAGCTATGGGTACCGAGGCCAATAAGAACACATGTGGGATAAAAATTTTGTTCTAAAGGGACCCTGAATGATTTTTTACAATCGGCGTTCCTGTGTGTGGGTGAGTAAGGCTAGATTTTTGTGATCGAAATTGACTGTGTAAATCATTTCATCAGGAGGTCATCATTTCTCTTGTTTATACTATTTCTATCTAAGGTAATGAGGCAAGATTCTGCAAAGCAATTGTTATATTATTACTTCTAAAACTTTTTCTTATATTGTAAATTTCTTTTAGTTGAATGATGAGACACATCTAGTCTCAAAACGTACAAAAAAAAAAAATAAAATTAATATTTTATTTCATTTGACGCATTGGCCGTTTTATTCAATTCAATATGTTTCAACGTCGAACAAAAAATCATCAATATATTAAGATATTTGCGATGGAAATACGCATCTTGAATAATCTTCAATGTTATGTATGCTTTGTTTTGAAAATTATTCGAATAGTCATGTTGCTTGAATGATAATTCAATGAAATAATGCTCCATTATGTTAGCAGATTTTATATATATATATATATATATATATATATATATATATTAGGGTGGTCCTTAAAATGGTCATTTTTGAATTTCCATGCTCCCAGGGGCTCAAATGGTTCCAAATAGATAAAAAACAATTCTCTGAAAGTTTTAGCTCTTAATATTAACGTTTAGATAGAGCGCAATTCAATCAAAGTTTTGTATGGAAATAGCATGGAAAATTTTTCAAAAATTTAAAAAATGTTTTTTAGATGTAATTTAGCGAACAAATGAATGAATAAAACTCATTCATTTGTCGCTAAGTTATACCTAAAGCATTTTTTTTAATTTTCAAAAATTTTTCCATGCTCTTTCCATACGAAGTTTGATTGAATTGCGCTCTATCTAAACGTTAATATTAAGAGCTAAAACTTTCAGAGAATTGTTTTTTATCAATTTGGAACCATTTGAGCCCCTGGGAGCAAGGAAATTCAAAAATGACCATTTTAAGGACCACCCTAATATATATATATATATATATATATATATATATATATACGAGGTCTGTTCAAAAAGTACCCGGAATTTTCGTTTTTTCAAAAAAATATTTATTTATTCGTCTACATTAATGTGGTCCCCTTCAAAGTAGTCCCCCCCAGATATAATACACTTATGCCAGCGTTTTTTCCAATTTTCGAAGCACCCTTGATATTCACTTTTTGAAATGTCCTTGAGCACTCTCAGCGATTTTCTTCAATCGAGGAAAACCGCCGTCCTTTCATGGGTCTCTTCAACTTTGGGAATAGGAAAAAGTCACACGGAGCCATATCTGGTGAATTTTTGCACTTTGCAACACTTTGTTTCATTTTTTACGCAAAATTTAATACAAATTCTTTGACTTTTCAATTCTTCCATTGTAAAAATCGCCGAGCTCAGAAAAACACGTCGAACCTTAGCGACTACCACAGACAAAGTAAACAGTGAATATAGCTGAAAATTTCATCATACTTTAGGGGCATGTATACCAACACAATAAAAAAAAAATTTTGACAATCAGACACTCCAGACCCGCGAAATTTAATTGTTAGTAATTCCGGGTACTTTTTGAACACACCTCGTATATATACATTAGAATCCGCTTAGTATGACATCGAAGGGACGCCGAAATCTCGTCATACTAACCGGTCGTCATACAAAGCATACTGAAGAAAAACTTTTTAATATGTAAACATGTTACATGTTTCAGTAATTTAAAATAAAAGCCTATACATACATTTAAAAAAAATCAAAATGACACATTAAAATTTAATATAAAATAAAATTGACATAGGGTAGGGCGGGGCACAAAGGTCCAATTTGACTTGCAGTAATTATACTGTCCAAACTCAATGAACAACCTTGCGACATATAACACACATCAAACAAGCATCTATCGAACTATGTACAGAAAAAATTTCACATAATTCCTAATCATATAAATTTTTTTTTTACTATTTTTTTTAAATTTGGTATCTGACCCATTTTACCTTACATACGGGGTAAAGTGGGACAACCATGGGGCAAACAGATGCAATTTCTTCTATTAAATTTTAAAGGGATTTTACGCTACACAATGCAAAATATTAATTCTGTGGGTACATTTGTTACAAAGATAACACAGTATATTACATTGATCTGCTATTGGTCAGAAATATTCATCAGACAAGCCGGAATAATAATTTATTTAATTAATCTCTTTTGAAATTGCTTTTTTTAAAACTTTACTATTTTATTGCTTACACCTTTGCCAAAGTAAAGGTTCTGCTGGTCCTTTTTATCCCACTCATGTGCTGCTTATCTTCTGATAGCAAGGTCATAAGAATAAAGGTGATGGCTGGTTATGAATTTATACATTTTTTGCCCTTTACTATCAAATATATTTGTTAAAAAAAAATTAATTTTATTTGTTTACGAGATATCCGTGGTGGACCATTAATAATTGGTCTACCCTAACCATAAACATACAAATGTGATTTTTAATGTAAGTAATTAGAAATTTTTGATTGATTTCTTTACATAATTTTATTGTAAAAACAGTCTCTAGTGCTATTGTGCACAAAAGACATAGCAATTGCTTCCGTAGACTTGGCCACATCATGTAAAATCATGTCGGTCATTATAATTGGACATAATTTTTTGCAAAAGTGGGTCATTATAAGCGACATGTCAACGTAAGCGATGACAATATATCCGACTAGACAGCTGTTTTTTTAAGAAATTTTATATGGAAACCAAACTTCCTAGTGCGATTACGTCATAATAAGCGGTTGTCAATATATCCGGCGTCATACTAATTGGATTCTACTGTATATATATATATATATATATATATATATATATATATATATACTAGATGACCCGACTGACGTTGCCCTGTACCCAACTCTGCATTTTTTCAATATCCTGTACTAATATTCACCGTTCAGTTAAAATTAATAATTATTGTTTTTGGAATTACTATTAACATCAATAAATGAGTGAATGTAGAACTGCTTCAAATAAAATGATGATTCTCAATTCCCACAGTTAACACTTTAATTATCCCTTTAACAAATATTAAAATATGTTCAATAAAATTATATAATAAAAATTAAACACTGCAATTTATAGTACAAATTTATTTCCAATAGCTCAATTCATTTTAATGTCAAGGGTTATACAATTTTTTAGTCATACCTGTAGGTGTGGATGTAAAAATGAATGATTTTTTGTTTATTCACGACTAAAATGACTTTCCAAATGTATCACACAAAAAATCATCGCCTGCCTTTGTGATTTATAGCATAATTTACACGTGTTGAAAGTTGAAGTTTTTTAAAAGGTATAACAAATTCAGAAATAATTAATAAATAGTATTCCCGGTAAAGGTACAATATCACATTGGTTTTTTCTACCCAAAATAATGGCTTCAATAATGTTGCCTATAATTTTTATATATTTGTACCATGTTTTAACTGGCTTTTAGTAACTTTTATATCTAAATTACATTTTTCTCACTAATAAAGTTATATACATTATTACTTAAGTTTATATTTGAAGTGAATTAATTTGTCAAATCCTGTTCACATGTGCTCCATTCAACCTACGATCAACAAAATTGCAGTAAATGGAGAGGAAAAAACCGTGTGTCGGAAATACGCTAATCTTAATCTTAAATTCAGAAGTGAAAACAATTTGCACTTCGTCACCACCAACCGGATTAATTGAATTATTACTCTTTTAATTCTGACTTTATCAATACTTGTAATACACTATTTTGAAGGTAATTAAATGAGCTACAACTTTCTCTATCGTAAATTTTACCGTAACTTCTCTTATTTTGAAATGGCAAAGGATTGAAGGACTCGAAAGACATTCTGGTTGTGCACTATCAATATTTGTGTAACAGAAAAATAATAAAAAGCAATAATTGGTCAGTAAAAGACCTTGAATTTTCATTTATATACCTTTATACGTATCTTTTATTTTTTTAAATAGATTTTTTTTCATGAAATCATGAGTTTTTTGGAAATCCTTTGCACTAAAGTTTTGGTATTTTCTAGAATCCGTCAAGATCTCTTAAACCAAGTTGATTCCAGAGGGAATACGATTATTTTTAATTTTGGTGGAAATGGCACTCAAAAACTATTTGCTTTAAACGAAAAAAATATTGTATGCGTCTTTTATCTGCATGATAACTCACTCATCTTACACGCAGAAGTACTAATTTTAAAGCTTATTTTGAGTACTATAAAACCCCATTTTCATATCTAGCTTAATATTGTTCTTAGAACAATTTATAGAACACCGATTTATTAGGATTTTGTTTGATATAATTTTGTTCATTACATGATTTTCGTTTAAATGTATATTTTTAGAAATAATTGCCAAAAACGATGAAAAACGCAAAAAACAAAAAATTTTCAGTAGCCAGTAACTTGAAAAGTAATTTCGAAAAACATTATTAAACATTTTTCTATTCTAATTAGTTCTTTTATCGATATCCAACGTTAGTTTGAAAGAGATACAATTGAACCACTGAAAAGAGATGTCATCCCCCCGGGAAGTGGCAAATGATTCTAAATTATTTTTACTTTTAAACTTGAGAGTAAGATGAACCTAATTCCAAAATTTCATGCAAATTGGAGCACATTAAAAATATTCAGACCCAAAATGCTCCATTGTCTTGAGTAAATATTTCGTATCCAATGCCAAAACATATGAATTTTTGACACAATGAAACTTCTAAATAATTGTTTGAATAAATAAATTATTTTTGTATCGTGGTTTAGTAAAGTAAGGCAAATCACGACTGCATTTGAAAGTATAAAAATAATAATTAGTCAAAGTGAATTGTAGGCTAAGTTTTATGTGCGATCACTGACAGACGCATGCGCAGACTGCATCACCTGTCAGATGTTGACTGTATCTTATACTTAATCTTATATTATTTTAATTTTTAGCACATCCCAGCTTCTTTTTGGCGATAATAATGTAGTCCTTACATTTTTCTTATTCATAATCATAAATATATTATATTTTAATATTGTCTTAGCCTATAAGTGAATGGAAATGTTTG